AAATATTGTGTGTAAGTATCTTTTTTTAAAATTCTCTTCTTAGTCAGGCAGATTTTACAAGTTTAAACAGTTACTTTTCTTGATAAACCAAAAATCATATTTGTGTATAGGATAGTAGAGCAAGTTTGTGGTCATTCTCTATATTTAAACGTTCACCAGTAGACACATTTCCATTTTACTTTATTGATATTTATATAAGACTTAGCTTGGTATTCTTATTTATTATTTTAATATTTGTACTACAGTTGTGCCTAAGGGTCCCAACTAAGATACGAGTCTCATTGTTCTCATCTTTGTACAAATACATAATGAGAGACAGTCACTGTCCGGAAGAGCTTGCAATCTAAATTGACAACACAGACAGTGAGCGCAAGGAGGAAAAACTGGTACAGAGAAGGAATATACTTGTTGAAGGTCACACAGCAGGTCATTTGTAAAGTTGGGATTAGAACTCAGGTCGACTTTCGGTGCAGTATCCTATTTACTAGATCACACGGCCTCTTCATACTCATTACAAGGAATGCCCAGAGACTAATGCAGAAAATAATGTAATCTTGTTTAGTTGTCAGACAATTGTAAAATAAGGGTGACAACTCTGTTTTGATGGTGAAGGAGGGATTCTAGGGCTTTCCCCATTTTTACCCACTTATCATTTTCCCCCTCTCCCAAGACCTTGCGTTAGGCTAGCTCCTGCTTCTGGCAAAGGAAGACTGAATGCTGCTTCCTCTGAAATCGAACACTATTACTTTTGGATTAGCCAAAAGGAGTTGCTCAATAGTTATATGACATACTCTGCCAAAAGAGGTTAAGGACATTGCCTCTAACTTGGTTCTTGCTCTGTGCTAAAGACAGTAGTTAAAACCATTCATACTTATTGTTTTTAAATTATTAACCTGACTGGACAATGGCATTAACAAATCATTGCCTGTCTCATTCACTGTTCTTACAGCATCTCAGGAGTAGAAAACTGCTATTTCATAATCCATACCTTGCCTAGTGCTTGGTTGTTCAGGGTCTCTAACTCTTACTAATGTTAATTTTATGTGCACACAGTGAGGGAAAAAATTATGTTTGAGAAAGGCAGGCCTATAGTAAAGAGATGTTGCTGTTAGCACCCGCCCTCCTCCTCTTAATGAGTGGTTAACCAATATTTATGATGTTTTTTTCTTTTTACAAACCTCAATAAAAGAGCATACATTCAATGCTCTGTGCACTCTGGCAATCATTTTTTAAAAATACACTAATAAGGAAAAAGACCCATCAGTTACCAGCAGTCAAAAAAAGTAATGCAGCAAGAGTATAAATATAAAAAGAACTTATCAACCTGCCCACACAATCTCGAGTCCCACACCACCACTAACCAGCCCTACTGAACACTCATCTCCTCACAGGTGAGGGAGTAAAAACCATGTGCCCTGAAAGCTAACAAACATGGGCTATTAGAGGCCAGTGGAAGAAGCAAGTTACAGTGGTCTGGGGCCTTAGTGTAGAATGCCCTGCTAGCAAACCTCTCTTTCTTCACAGTGGGGCTTCCTCTTAGGTGTCTTCACTGACTACAGCTGTGGCAGGATGTCATGAGGAGAGAGGATTTCTTTTAGGTAGGTTACAGGCCACTTAGGGCTTTTTATAGGTCAAATAGTCATAAAATGAATCCAGAAATTGATAATTACTTTGTTCAGTGCTCTCAGAGGGTGATGCTGGAAAAGCCTGGAATCCAAGAGTGGCTTCATCTATCCTTTAAAACTCAGGATTTTACCAAGATAAAATAGCACTGTGTGCTTCTTTTTCTTTGTCTAGTTAATCTTGGGAATAAGCATCATTATCTTGGTGCTTTGTCAGCAATATTATGAGATCATCTAGTTAATAGTTGCCCTGTGGCCTTTGCTGGAGTGGTATATCAATAAGATACAGACAGACTGTGTTTACTTGAATTCAGATGGAAATAACAAGTTATAAAGTCTTAGTACTGATGAGTAGAGAATTTACAATATTAAATGATTGATAATTAATAGTAAATTTTTTTTATTAACATAACATAAGAATGGCCGTACTGGGTCAGACCAAAGGTCCAACTAGCCCAGTATCCTGTCTACCGACAGTGGCCAATGCCAGGTGCCCCAGAGGGAGTGAATCTAACAGGTAATGGTCAAGTGATCTCTCTCCTGCCATCCATCTCCACCCTCTGACAAACAGAGGTTAGGGACACCATTAAAGGTATGGTTGTTTATATTTCTCCTTAGCACAATGTAGATGCCTCTCCCACCTCTGAAGGTCAGCCCTTCACATCACAGGACCATACAATTTGACATACCAAAGCAGATGAATAATCCATCAAATCTGGTATCCAACCTCTGGTAGCAGCCAATGCCTAATGTTTTGGAGAAAGGCAAATGCGCTCTTCCACCATAATGTGCTTGGTCAGTAGCATAACTGTGTACATGGAGGGATGCAGGGGAATTCCTTCTTGGTGTTCTGAAGCATAGGAGATGACATGCACACAATACTCTGAGAACCCTTAAGGATAATCCTTTTCTTTTTACCCATCCTTATGCCCTTTTTGCATGGCAATCATCCTTCCTGCTGAGGGCATGGAAAGGCTCCTCTGACAGCTCTTGAACTTCTCCCTTTCGTCATCTGGAATAGGTCATGGCTTCTTCTGGAGGCTGTGTGATGCAATTGTATTGGCTAGTGGGGTTAATTGTAGAGTCATAACAATCAGACTTCTCTTTCTAGAAGTTGAGCCTATTGCCTCCCCTGTACTCTTTCAGCATCTGCTGCTCTCTGAAAAAGAGGTGAAGGTCTCAAAATCCAGCCTCAAACCTTCTAGTACATAAAGTTGCCTCTGGACTCATGAGATTGGGTGAACACTAAAAGATCAAGTTTCTACAAACATCACCAAAATGGGGAAAACAAAGATTACATGATACATAAGCAAAATTACTGCTAATAAATAGAACATAAGAATGGCCATACTAGGTAAGACCAAAGGTCCATCTAGCCCAGTATCCCGTCTTCCAACAGTGGCCAATGCCAGGTGCCCCAGAGGGAATGAACAGAACAGGTAATCATCAAGCGATCCATCTCCTGTCACCTATTCCCAGCTTCTGGCAAATAGAGGCCAGGGCCACCATCCCTGCCTATCCTGGCTAATAGTCATTGATGGACCTATCCTTCATGAATTTATCTAATTATTTTTTGAACCCTGTTATAGTCTTGGCCTTCACAGCATCCTCTGGCAAAGAGTTCCAGAGATTGACTGTGTGTTGTGTGAAAAAATACTTCCTTTTGTTTGTTTTAAACCTGCTACCTATTAATTTCATTTCATGACCCCTAATTCATGTGATATCAGAAGGAGTAAATAACACGTCCTTATTTACTTTCTCCACACCAATTTTATAGACCTCCTTAGTTGTCTTTTTTCCAAGCTGAAAAGTCCCAGTTTTATTAATCTCTGCTCATATGGAAGCTGTTCCATACCCCTAATCATTTTGTTGCCATTTTCTGTATCTTTTCCCAATTCTAATATATCTTTTTTGGGATGGGCCAACCACATCTGCATGCAGTAGTCAAGATGTGGATATACCAGGGATTTATATAGAGGCAATATATTTTCTGTCGTCTTATCTATCCCATTCCTAATGATTCCCAACATTCTGTTAGCTTTTTTGACTGCCGCTGCACATTGAGTGAGTGGATATTTTCAGAGAACTATCCACAATGATGCCAAGATCTCTCTCATGAGTGGTTACAGCTAATTTAGACCCCATCATTTTATATGTATAGTTGGGATTAGGTTTTCCAATGTGCATTATATTGAATTTTATCTGCCATTTTGTTGCCCATGCTATTTTCATGAAGCATTTGTGGAGCTTTAATATACAGAAAGATGCTTGTATAAAATGGAGAGACTGCAGACTCATTTATATATAGAGTAATGAATGTCAGAATATGTAAGATGTTTAAAATTGCATTTATTTCTTTCACCACCTATATTAAAATTAAAATAGAAGGAAAGCATAGATCTTGTCTTAGTGTCTTTCCTGCTCTATAAATATTTGGCCTCTAGGAGAAAGTTATATAGTTTTCAGAACCGCATTGAGACAGTGAAGATTAGGTATGCCTCTAGGTATGACATTCTGGGCTGTGAGATTTTTATCAGTGGGATGTTCAGTGAAATATATGACTAAGAGATGGAACACCTACAAGGATAACCCAAATATGCTGCAAGAAGTGGTCCTGGTGATTGTGTAGCTGGCATTCTTATTTCTGAGTTAGTACTGAATCAATATCCCAGTTTGGTTTTAAGGGGTGCTGTGCAGCTGGAGATAAACACAGTATGTTGGCCATCTGAGGTTATTGAAAATCCCATAGTGCATTTTGAAAGAGCAGGAATAGCAACTCGAATAATCTTCCAATTTACTTAAATTCCCACAATGATTTCAATTACATAGTGTTCTTTACTTTCTGTCCTAAAGTATTGCTGTGTGCTATTCATTTTTTGTAAAAATGTATTTTCAAAAAAAGACTGAGTTAACTAGCTGTATACTAGAATTCACAGCAAGATTAGTTTTTAAAATACCCTTTTTAAAAAAATTGTGTCTGCTTATGAAACATTCAGGAACGGGTGGTTGGGTGAGGGAATATTTGATTTGTGATTAAGTATTAGATATTGGCTTGAGTCACAAAACTTTAGCCAAGATTTTTAAGCACCAAAAGGGGAGTGTTTGGATTCCAGGTACTTACAGTAAAATTCAAGATAATATAAATGTACTGTTTGTACCCTCTGTTGGAGTGCGAAGAGTTGCCATTACAGGGAGATGTATTCTGTGATATAACAGGTTCTTGCATCTTTAGTTACAATGATCTGCTAAGTTGTTGCACGTAATCTATAAATAGGAAAGTAATTTATTCATAAGCTACACTGTATGTTGCTATGCTACTATTTCATATTGTGTATCCCTAAGGACTGTACTTTTATAATACAATGTGTTTGTATACAGGTGTTAACATCTGACTTGGAAAACAGGGAGAAGCAGCAGCAAAGGATGCTGGACCAGCTGAAGGAGATACAGAGCTGCTACAAGGCCTGTGAGAGTGAACGGAGGCAAACTGAACTCCAAACTGCTGAGCTGGCCCAGCAACTTGAAGAGTCTACTAAGGAAGCAGATCGGTACCTTGCTGAATTCAGGCAGTCTGAGACCCTTAGGCTAGAGACTGAGAAGAAGAAAGAAGAGTTGAAAGTGAAAGCTCAGGAATCCATTCGACACTGGAAGCTGAAATATAAGAAATTGGAACGTGATATGGCGAAACAGAATGAAACCATCAATCAGCTGATGGACAAGAGCAATCAGGTAAGAGCAGAGCCTTTATTTTTCTTCTCCTTTCCCTTTTTATTTTAGAAATAGAGATGAGGATGTGACATATGCACTTGCCATCTAACAACTGCACTGTGAATTTACATAGGCCACAAAACAGCTGGCAGATACTAATGACTTTCTTTCTGTTGACCTACGCTGGATTCATACTCTCAGCCTAGAAGTAAAAGGAGGGGTTTAGAATTATTAGGAACTGGGGAAACTTTTGGGAAAAGGGGAGCCTATACAGGAAGGATGGGCTCCATCTAAACCAAAAAGGAACCAGATTGCTGGCACTTAAAATTAAAAAGGTTGTTGAACAGTTTTTAAACTAAGGGCTGGGGGGGAAGCTGACAGGTGCAGAGGAGCATGTGGGTCAGACAGAGACATCCCTTAGGGGAGGAGCTATTAATGGAGATTCTCTATGTCCTAGTAAGGAGGAGAGAATGGAAGATGATAAAATACGGGTAGGATCTGATGAGAAACAGCAAATGAAAAAAAGTCCCATTCAATTACATCATGTAATGTCAGACAGCTAAAAAGTGACAAGTTTTTAAAGTGCTTGTATACCAATGCTAGAAGTCTAAATAATAAGATGGGTGAACCAGAGTGCCTTGTATTAAATGAGGATATTGATATAATAGACATCACAGAAACTTGGTGCAATGAGGATAATCAATGGGACACAATGGTACCAGGGTATGAAATATATTGGAAGGACAGAACAGGGCATGCTGGTGGAGGAATGGCACTATATGTGAAAGAAAGCACAGAATCAAATGAAGTAAAAATCTTAAATGAACGAAACTGTACCATGGAATCTATATAGATAGTAATTCCGTGCTCGAATAATAAGAATATAGCAGTAGGGATATATTACCAACCACCTGATCAGGATGGTGATGATGACTGTGAAATGCTCCGGTAGATTAGAGAGGCTACGAAAATAAAAAAACTCAATAATAATGGGGGATTTCAGCTATCCCCATATTGCCTGTGTACATGTCACCTCAGGACGGGATGCAGAGATAAAGTTTCTTGACACCTTAAATGACTGCTTCTTGGAGCAGCTAGTCCTGGAACCCACAAGAGGAGAGGCAATTCTTGATTTAGTCCCAAGTGGAGCACAGGATCCGGACTAAGAGGTGAATATAGCTGGACTGCTTGGTAATAGTGACCATAATATAATTAAATTCAACATCCCTGTGGTAGGGAAAACATCACAGCAGCCCAACACTGTAGCATATAATTTCAGAAATGGGGACTACACAAAAATGAGGAAGTTAGTGAAAACAGAAATTAAAATCTACAGTGCCAAAAGTGAAATCACTGCAAGCTGCATGGAAACTTTTTAAAGACACCATAGTAGAGGCTCAACTTAAATTTATACACCAAATTAAATGTATACTCCCAAACATAGTAAGAGAACCAAAAAAGTGCCACAATGGCTAAACAAAGTAAAAGAAGCAGTAAGATGCAAAAAGGCATCCTTTAAAAAGTGCTAGTTAAACCCTAGTGAGGAAAATAGAAAGGAGCATAAACTCTGGCAAAGTGATGTGTAAAAATATAATTAGGAAGGCCAAAAAAAGAATTTGAAGAACAGCTAGCCAAAGACTCAAAAGTAATAGCAAATATTTTTTTTAACTACATCAGAAGCAGGAAGCCTGCTAAACAACCAGTGGGGCCACTGGACGATTGAGATGCTAAAGGAGCACTCCAGGACGATAAGACCATTGTGGAGAAACTAAATGAATTCTTTGCATCGGTCTTCACGGCTGAGGATGTGAGGGAGATTCCCAAACCTGAGCCATTCTTTTTAGGTGACAGATCTGAGGAACTGTCCCAGCTTGAGGTGTCATTGGAGGTGGTTTTGGAACAAATTGATAAACTAAACAGTAATAAGTCACCAGGACCAGATGGTATTCACCCAAGAGTTCTGAAGTTCACTCAAATGTGAAATTGCAGAACTACTAACTGTAGTCTGTAACCTATCATTTAAATCAGCTTCTGTACCGGATGACTGGCAGATAGCTAATGTGATGCAACTTTTTAAAAGGGCTCCAGAGGTGATCCTGGCAATTACAGGCCTGTAAGCCTGACTTCAGTACTGGCAAACTGGTTTATACGAGTAGTATAATAAAGAACAATATTGTCAGACATATAGATGAACATAATTTGTTGGGGAAGAGTCAACATGCTGTGAGCACAGTTAGATGACACTGATTATAATAGTGGTGTCTGGTCTTCATTGGAGCTCTTACTGGTGATAGTGATGGTAAGAAATTCTAGGAGTTATGGCTGAGTACACTAGACCTTGGTTTTATGTCTCATCTAAAAGACAGCAGCATAGCTTCCCTTATTTTGTGGGATTGGTGGCTGATTTAGAAGGAACAGAACCACCTCTTGAGTCAACAGCACAATTTCTTGCAGCACTTGGGATTTTCTTTGGAGCTCTCTCTTCAAAGTTTTCATCATCATCTCATTCTGCAACTTCTCAGTGCTGGTGGGATTGCAACCCAAGGAGAGTGTGGTTACAGGCTTAGAGTGCTATGATTAATGAAATTTTTATCTTTCAGTAATTGGCTGAAAAATTAGCATTGTAATTGCAATTATAGAGTAATGGAGTTTAAGGGCAGAAGGGACCACAAGATCATCTAGTCTGACCTCCTGTATATCACAGGCCACCCAGCATCCTCACCTTAACCCCCAAACCAAAATTAAACCAAAGTATTACAACTCACAGAAATGTAGACTGTTATGTGCCGGAGGCAGAGAATAAGAGGGACTGAGGTGCACTAGTGCCCAAGGTCCTCCCAATGACAGGCAAGTGATTATAAGATTCACCCAAATAATCCTGGCGAGTGACCCACAACTACACGCTGCAGAGGAAGACCAAAACCTGCCAAAGTCACTGCCAGTCTGTCCTCTGAGAAACTTTCTTCTTGACTCCCATATGGATATCAGTTAGACCCTGAACTAGTGAGCAGGAACCAGCCAACCAAGCACCTGAGACAGAGAATGCTCAGTGCTACCTCAGAGCCCAATACTGGTCTCAGTAAAATGTGTTTTGAATAATAAAAGTAGAAAAAACAAAAACGTGTAACCTGAAATAATTGAAATGTGATCAAACCACATTTGGTCCATCAGCAAACCACTTTAACAGAATGTTAAGGTTGGATGGGTTCAGCCTAACATTTAAAGTTGAGGAAATGCCAGATCAAAGATTGCACATACAACAGGAAAGAGTTAAAGTTCTATGTGTGCATTACAATAAAATCATTAGTATGAACACTGTGGCAAATGGCTGACACTATTGTGGTGGGTCAGTGCGCTGCCCCTTGCCCTTATTGTTAGGCATTGATGGCTCCACTAGTGCCCTGGTGGGGGAGAGAAGGGGAGCTGGGAAGGGACCCGGGTCTGCCCCCTACTCCAGGTCCCAGCCCCTTCAGCTTCACTGGCTTCTTACCCTCTTTCCCCTTGGGCAGGGTTTCTCTCGGTCCTCTGTGCTGGGGGAGTACCTCTGCTCTGCTTGGGCAGGGTTTCTCTTCCCCTGGTACTCCTCCAAACTACGGTCAGTTCTCCTTCCCTTCTGTCTGACGGAATAGGCTTTTTTTATTAGATCTCTGGCATGGTCTTAATTGGCTCCAGGAGCTCTAATTAACCTGTAGTAACCTCTCCTCAGTCCTCAGGGAATAAGGCCCTGATCATCCTGAGGCTTATATAGCTCCCATTGAACACTCTCCTGCTGCCCTTTGGCCTTGCAGTATCATAACACACACACTTTCTCGGTGTTGTATCGTTTGCCCATAACCATAGACACATATATTACACTGCTCTACAGCCAAAATGCTTCTGAAATAAATGTAGTCTAACTTTACTAATTCTGGATCACTGAGAATGAAAATGATGCTTAAAATTGATGATTGCCTCTAGTTTTCAAGATATGTTATTGGGTCAGTATATACAACCCTTGACTTGGGAATGGCGGAGGATAAGTGAGTTATAAAGGGAAGGGATCTCAATTTAAACCAGAAATGACTAAAATACATCTTTGACTGGATCTAGGAATAAATCTATGACTGGGTTTGGACAGTACTTGCTTTTTAGGCAAAACAATGAATGATGAAATCTGAAGCTGGTATTGCGTCATACATGATATGAATTGCATCATGTTATTCCTAGAAGTCATGGATGATGCAATCATAACAAAGCTTACATCACTCTGCTGAACAAATTGCCCTATATTTGCTCTAGAAATCATACAGTGTCGTGCTCTCATTTGTCAGTGTTTGATTTTGCAAAGGGACACATTTCTGTTTAGCCAAAGTGAGCAGAGATGCCTCGTACTTGTGTGAACAGTGCAGATAACTTCTGCTATGTTTTGTGGTGAAGTGACTTTTGCATCACAAAAGCGCCGTATAACCACTATGGTTAAGAAAGCCTATCACCTTTATTTTGGCTA